ACCAGAATTTTTATACAATTAAAAAGAATTTTTGAACTAAAAACTTTTAGCAAGATTCATATCGCCGCAGTGATAGGTTTCAGTGGTGAAGCTTACATTTTAAAGTCGCGGGAAAATAGTTGAGGTAGGCACACAAGGACATTTTTTCTTTCACTATCCACCTTTCAGTTGAAGCATCGCGGTCGCCCAAATTTCTGATCCAATTAGTTTGTATGATATCTATATCATATAGTGTTTCGATATCGGTGGATCCAACACGAGAAAAATATTGAACACCTACTTTGTATATATATTCATTCGATCATTTAAATATATACTTTATATAAGCACCGACGCTTCCTTCTCTTGTTTCATGTTCATTGCATAAAAAGAGAATTATAACCCTTTTTATTCTATTTTAGAAAAATAAGAGTCGATGTGGCAAAGGCGCCTGTCATAAAATATAAAAACATTTTTATACCTTCATAACCCAATTTAGCTTGCCATAATACGAATCAAACACAAAAGCTGTGATGGATGGTGAACTAACTGGAAGAATATTACTTATTAAATCATAACATATCGTTTCACTCGCCGCAAAATCTCCACACAAACGGATTTAGTTCAAACAAAACCAACAACTTGACCGCAAATACTGACCATTTAGCTCGTATGCTACAAATAACGGTAAATTCATGTAGTAGCACTTATCGACACGGCCAAATTGAGTGCCAAAATGGTATCACGTTGCCGGCGTTTCAACAGTCGATGGGTTGAACGGTTCTCGCAGCAGAGCAACACGAACATGATACTGCTAGAACTGCAGGGAGAGGAGTACAAAAAACAAAGAAGAAAAATAAAACCACATTCGAAAAGCATCCGTTGACAGGATGTGCCATAAAAACTAATGACTGCACTGAAATAACGGGGTTAAGTGTTTAGAAAATCGAACATGCGCGCGCGCTGAAGATAACCGAACTGCTGCAGCATATATGAAGGAACGCTTTTGCTAAATTTGCGCTGAAAATCCAAATCACGAAAGTTACCAGGCTTCACACTGCCAGTGTTGCCACAATTATACCCGTAACACGGACGAAACGACACCCTCGAGATGATTTTATACGCTGCACGCGACTAGGATTTTATGTTGTATGTCAGTAAAGGAGCTTAGCAAAAACGAAGAAAATCAATGTGAGTAGCAAAAAATGCTTTTGCTTGTTTTAAGGAGCAAACAGCAGGAGCGCGCAAGTTAGACAACCACATCCCAAATGCTCAAGTGGTTGTCAATAACTAGTAAGGGTAATACAAAAGAAAGAAAATGAAAAATAAGGAAATGAAAAATTCGACTGTGGCCGAAAGTGGTTTTAAGTGAAAAGGATGTAAAGTTTGTTTAACAATTTGTAGAAAGCGCTCAAACTTTATTTTTATTGCAAGGTTCAGTGTCTACGTCGTTGCAGAAAGTATCAAATTACACGAAATCATCTTCTTTTATTGCTGAATTTATTAGACAAATTTCGTTAGCAAAACTCGTGATTTGGTAATCTTAAGAGATTATTGCCTTCAAAAGCAATCCCTTATTGCGGTTTAATATTAATGTGAAGAGTTTTTACACCTCCTACTGGAGCTCACCCCTCCAATACTTAAAGCATTATGGCAAAGGGAACATATCTTCTTCTTAATTGGCGTAGACACCGCTTACGCGATTATAGCAGAGGATATATACCCTTCGAAAAAAATCCGATTACGATACAGCATTATTAGAACTTACAATATACCGACGAAAATAATGTTTAATAAAGAGCAAAGTCGGATTTTTATTGAGGGAGTGATAAGATTGTTTACAAAAGTTTTATGCACGAGAAAAAATTCAGGTGTGACGTGCACAAATCCACATTTTACAAGGTTTTTTAACGTTATTAACTAATAAGATGCCCGATAATTTCACTCAAAATACTAGTAATCTAAAACTGTATGACTTTGCAGTTTTTTAAGCAATTGGTGAATTCTATGTCAAAGAAACTGCGGCGCCCTGTTTTGATTTTAACTGTATTTCAGTGAGGTTGCCCTGCAGCGACCAAAACAAACTTATACTCAAAAAGTGTAAGATCTGAGCTATAAAGCGAAGAAGGTAAAATTTCCTAGCCACTGTTTCCGAAATTAGTCCTTTAACCGCTCTTTCAGCAAGCGTTTTGTTATAATAAATGATTATTGCTTCGTCAATAGTCAGAAATTCGTGGCATTTTACGTTCACTTTAATTATATTAATTAATATGTTTGTCGAAAGTGTTCTTCATGAATAATTTCATCTGGGTTTAGAAGCTAATAATACAGAACTTCCTGCTGATCCCTAAAAATACAAAGAATTACCTAACAATCAGCATGCCGTTAATTGAACTCGTTGCTAAGGTTGCATATATGAGATTTTAGGGTTGTCGTGATGGATCTGTTTCCCAGTACCAGTTTTAATGCGATCCAAAAATGACTTCTTGGCTTTAATTCATGACTGCCTGAATGACTCACAAAGCTTTTGCGGGCTCTTTTTGTATAAGGCTTGTCTTCATCGATTTAAGCTTATTTGCATTTTCTCATCCTCGAATTTGTTTGGCCGTCTAGGACTCTCCTCGTCTGCCAAGCTAAAAACCGTACTTATAAAAAATGTCAATCACTTTTGCACAGTAACTATCGAAAAAATTATGTGAGTATTTGTACACTGGAATAATAAACTAAATATGAACGAAAAAGTTGAAAAAAATGTTAAGAAAGTGTAACGGTAAGTTGGATATTACCCACTATACCCACTATACAAGTTTTATATATCTATATAACGTTTTTCAGCGGCTCTTAAACCACGCCTGTCATATCATCCGACGAAGTTTCCAAAGCGCTCCATAAGAAATTTTTGAAACCCAATATTCAAGCTTTCAGCTGAAGAACGTCTTAACGGGATATAAGGTTTTAAAACTTTTTTTCTGCGTTTTAAACGATCTGATACTTTTTTAATGCGTTTTTGGAGATTCACTGTCGCAGACTTATTTATTAATATATTCATCGAAAATTTTTTTTAATATACTACAAAAGTTTCACAATAATATGTCATTAAATATGGTAAAATTATAGTACTCATGTAGTGTCAAAAGAAAACACAAGTATATCCCTTTCTTTCGCCCTCAAAACTTTACTTTAAGAAGTATGAAGAAACTTTTTTCATCGATACATATTTCACATAGATCAGAGTGAGTAGAACTCTGAAATCCATTGACTTAATACACAGGTATGATGTGGAGCGTTAAATCCACATCTATTCTTTTTAATTGTATAAAAATCCTGGTTTCTTTTATGGAGAGCTTTGTTTTGACATAGGCTCTCACTTAGTGTCCTAATATTGAGTTATATTGTTTGAGTTCAAAAAACTTTTTTAGTTCCACTCTACACTAGAAAGCTTTCGCAGCTCCACAAGTGCTGCTTTTTGAAATTGCGTAAGGCCAATAGATTCAACGTCATTAGTACAAGAAAGCAATCCCATCTTGACGGGATTTTTGCATGGTTGCCTTTTTTGGAAAGCTCATCGGTTTTTCAGTTTCCGTCGATTTCGCTTTAGCCAGGCACAAAGCTAGGTTTAATTAGGAAGTAGCATGGTAGTAATGCTAGTGAGATCATGTACTCCTTTACTAGCCTTGAGCTCACTGTCAGCGAGCGTAGAGCTGGTTTAGCAGCTCTGACAATGGTATATCTCCTTAAAGATAACGAAAGCTCCCTAAAAGTCCTGAACCTTGAATACATATGTATATCTGTTGCTGTTGCTTTGTTAAATTCTTAGTTAAGCTGCTTAAGAAAAAAGTACTTGAAGATCAAATTAATTTGTTACGTTCTCTCTATAAAGTTGCTTCTTTTGTCTCGTTTTCAACAAAAAAGCTCTCAAGATTCGATCTACATATTCTTCAACTAAAACACTATGAGAAATTATACCAAATATTCTAATTGAGGCTCCTCGACGCTTAGGGCAAAGTTTTCTAGAAAATATGGAATAACTATTCATTTCATTAAGCAGGAAAATGCATGCGCTCGCAAAATGCAATTAGTATTTGAACAGTGACAGCTTCAGTTTCACTGTCAGCTATCTTCCAAAAATTTATAATACACTACACAATTAAATAAGAGCTATAATGCTTGCCTTTAGTTGTAACTATATATTTCAGCATCAAAATTTAATTAGAAACCGCAAAGTGAGTTGCCACGCCAAGCTTGCTGCAAAATTTTAACGAGAAATACAATAAAAGCGAACAAAACCGAATTTTACAAATGACACAGCCACAAACCGCTGAACAAGCATATTCCTAGTAATTTTACACGCTATAATATTGCCACTTGCACACCTATGCAACTGCACACTGCGCACTTTTAGGAATGCGGTAACACACCCACAAAACAACGTGTTGGCTGTGGCGTATACGTAACATTCTGCTTGAATGCATTGACTGCAATATGGCACAAGCATGCGTTCACGCCTAAATGCACACAATAAAGACACACAAATTTATGATGCATATAAACTTGAAAAGTTCAAAAGTGCCTGCAGAAGTTTTTATGCAAACTCAAAGTGCACGCAAAAGCAAAAACAATTTAATATTCATTAAAGCATGGAGTAACTATGCGGTGGCATTTCGTTTCACCTGTGCTACAGAAAAATGCAATTACCTCATGTTTGCAATCATTAGCAAAGTATAATATATATACCAAATGTATATGGTGCCTATATACCACTCACTATATAAATGCATATTTTATTTTCCGCAAATATATTCTTCTATATATTTAATCACATATGCTGCGTACAAATTACTTACATTTTTTATATGTGTATAATAAAAGATATGTTGCACTTAGCAAATACTCTCACAACAAACTCATTAAAATTTTATTCCATATTTTGTATTCTTCTTACGTCTCCGCACTTGTCTACACCATCTGCAACATCATGCTGTTTTATCTGCAACACGTGCCATTCCCTTTGCCGCACACAGGATTTGCACATAAGGAATGCGGAAGCGACGGTGAGTGGTACAAGCATCCGCTCACGAATAAGACCTGGTCCAATTACACGACCTGCATTAATTTCGATGATTTAGAGGTGAGTTGAATGTGAAAAAACATTACTAATAGAAATCTAGAATTTTCTCTGAACAATTTATGTTTTATGCGATAAGAAATACTTGCTTTTATAGATGATACTATTTGCATTAAATACAAATTAGAGTGCAAAATTGTAATATAAAATACTTTCGTTTAGATATTATAGATATTTTAATTAAAGATATTTTGCAAAATTTTATTGTCGGCTTAAATAAAATTTTTTACTACATGCATCTAACTACTTTTACGGGGGTGCTATATATGCCTTTGAAGCGATACAGTCTTCAAATCAGACTGAAATATGATTTTGATAATCCATCTTACCAATAAGTTATTAAATATAAAAAAAATTTTCAATATTTATATACCGGCATAAAAGAGGATGCACCCTGTACTAAACTCCTATGTATGCAGTAAAGACGTCAAACCAGATTTTGTTGATTAAACTCAACAATTTTACAGTTTTATGAATTATTTAAACCCCAAAACGGTATGAAAGTTAGTATTTGTACAGAAAAGTCTTATTTAAGAAAATATCAATTTTTTTTCGAGATATATTTGAATATATCAAATGTATATTGGCCCAACTTTTACATTAAGAAATGTGAAATACTTAACCAGATTTACGTGAACTTTAGTTTTTAATTACTGCAGTAAATACTATAGATAACTGTTTTATACTTTTTTATTTATTTTAGTGGAAACACAGCATTAATCTCTTTTATAAGACTGGTTATGGCATATCCCTGATAGCGATACTCCTGTCTCTTGCTATATACATTTATTTCAAGTAAGTATCAGTGAAAATAAATTTTTTAGTTTCATATGTAAATATTATACTATTTTTTAATGAAACTTTTGTGGAATTTTATGAAATATTTTTATAATGATACACATATATTTTTTCTTATAGCCAAATGTTTAAATTACATAAAGCTACTTTTTTTGAGCGATGAATATTTCAAAATTCATAACTCGAAAATTTTTCATATTCGGTAGAAAAAAATAATACGCGTCCAATATTTTGCCTCAAAAACAAAACTTTTTATGCATATTTTGAATGAAATTTTTTTTATATTATAATATTATATCCTACCTTTTGAATTATCGATAAATTTCAAACTAAAGGTTGACCTGTTGCGAAGTTGCCTATTTTTTTTTTTTTTTTTTTTTTTTTTTTTTTTTTTTTTTTTTTTTTTTTTTTTTTTTTTTTTTTTTTTTTTGTAATGAAAAATCACAAAAACTGCAAATTTAATGGGCAATGTTTATTAGCAATCGAAAGCTGGTCCGTCCGTTGGATCCAATTTTTGATGACTCGTTCTAGTATTTCGACCGGTAACCTGCGAATGACAAGCGTGTTGTTTCCCTCGAAGGTCTGAAGAGGCATTGAACGCATAGACTTTAGAGGTTACATATCCCTACAGAATTAAATGTAATGGTGTGATATTATGTAATCTTAGTGGCCATACCGCTGGCCCAAAACGTAAAATTTTCTGCACATCGAAGTGTTCACTCAATAAATCTATTGATCGATGCGATGTGTGGGAAGTGGCGCCGTCTTGTTGAAACCAAATTTCACTAAGATCACGAGTTTCAATTATCATGACGCGATAAATTGACATCATTTTTTGAAGAAATATGGACCGATGTTTCCACTAACCCACAAACCACACCAAACCGTTTTTGAAATGGCAGCTCTTAAATATCTTTAGGTAATATCAAAAATATGTATTGGCTTAAAATTTCTTTAAGTTGCAATAAATTCAAAGACAACATGAAGCGACTTTTCACGATCTTATAGATTATTATTTCATTATTTTCTCTAAACAATTATGATTTTCTGAACTATTCCCATTCGCGAGGCATTTTCCTATTTTCCACTTCCTGTACTGTTTCCAAACTGAGCTATGAATTTTTTTATGGGCTACTCTAGTTTTTACATCGCTGCTGCACTATAGGGAAGGAAAATGTGCACTTTTTTCTCATACCTTCTATATATATGTATTTCAAAAATTAAAATTAATGTATTTTATTCACTTTTCTCCGCAAGTTCGAATACTATGAGCAAAACTCTCAAAATTAGTCACGCTTGACTTTCCAGAGGATGCTTGGTCTAAGACCGGGAGTCGTGAGCGGCTTGAGCCATGTGCAAAAGAATCTTTTTTTGCCATTCTCAAGTGAATGGTGCCCAGAGAAGTTTTCTCGCTTGCGTGAACTTCTACACATGACTCTTTCCTCCAACTAAGTATACTAAATACATGTACTTATATATTTTTTATAATTTTATTAAAAATCATAAAAATTTTAGTAAATTCAAACTCAAAAAAATATTTTAAATATTATTCAATTTCATAGCATTTTACATTTTCTATAGAATTTAGGTTTGTAGATACAATTATGTATATACTATTAATGAATCCAACGGAAATAGAAATTAAAATGCTGATAAATGCTTCATTTGCAAGTTCCAGACACTCAAATTATTTGCCTTAAAATACCCAATAAGCAGTAAAATGTAACTAGTTGTTTCATTCAACACCAATGTTTGACAATTAACAGATAAATAATAACAGATGATAGATTAATTACAATGCATTCTGTGATTTATTTTTATTTACTCAAGAGCTTCAACGAATGTTCGCTGGTTTTTTCGCCGACATTGCGACACTCTAATAACGAGCGTGCTTCCATATTATTGTATTTTTATTTTGTTATATTTTATCTACATTTATGAAGTCCATTCCAGTATTGGCTTTGGCATTTCGATAATTATGAATAACGCCTGCAGGCGGCGAGATGCGTTTTTGCTAAATGGTGCTGCTTGTATTTTCCATTTCCTTTGAATGCGCACACTCGTTATAGAAACTTCAATAAAATGCGCTAGAAATAGTTAATTATGAACAATATAAAGTAAAACATTTTATCACAAAGTTGTTTACGTAGACTGTATTTGAAGTGAATGAAGATATTTAGCAGAAATCTTCATTCACTTCAAATGCAGTTTTGTATGTTGTGTGGCGCTCCTCAAAAGTATTCAAAGTTATTAATTCTAACATAAAATCTCTCATGACTCTTTCTAAAAGGATGTGGAATGAGCTATTGGAAATTTTAAATATAATTTGGAATGTGGGTTTATTAATATTAATATGTCATAATAATCAGAAATTTATCAAACCCATTACAAAAATTGAAATTGCACTTAAAATACCTTTACATTTTCTACCTTTATGCTTTACCTTCTTAGGCAATGAAAAATCGCTTTTGTGCACCGAGTCAAGTAATATCATATTTAAAAATAGCTCGAACAGGCTATCATAAATTAACAATAGTTGTTACTATACTAAAAAAGCAACAAACAAAAATGTAAATAAACATAAGAATGTAACATCATCTGCTACATGACCTTGGCGCAAAAGTATTTCGTGTTCCAATTCCCATTTTGTTCATAGTTACATTTGCATTGGATGACTTTTATGTTATGTAGTTTATTGTTGTGATTTGTAATTGCCATTTCTCATCTTCGGCGCAATAACAACTAAAATTCGTTCCGCTCAGTTTGTTGAAGGCTTGTTGTTGCATAATTCGAAGTTCACAGAAGTTGTGGGTGAGAGACAATTTAATTTATTAAGATTCTCATTTTTTCGTTTAGTACATTTTAGTAGTTCATAAGCTAAGCTTTTGTAAGTGCATATTGAGTGTTGTACTTTTTTTGTTTTAAAACCTGCGTTGTGTGATTTTGTGTGTGATTGTATATTATATTTGATTTATTTAAGGTAATAACATTTTTTTAGACATTGAATATATTTTTTTTATTATATTGGTAAAAAATAATAAGACAATGTAATTTAATTTTCGCGGGAAAGCCCATTCGTCTAAATATTTTTTTTCTTAGTTGGTATGACTGTCAATGAAATCTATGCCAAATGTCACATCAAAATAATCATTTTTGTTGGTATTACGAAGTGCATAAAATGCATTCGGCGATTTTAACGATGAGTGAAATTATTCCAATAAATTTTGTGTGCGGAATCTAATTTCTGGTTCAGAATCGACGATTAATATCGGAAGGACCAATTTGAAAGCTCATTTGCACCTAAGAAAAGTGAAAGCGCGATTGATTCCAAAATCACTTGGTCAATATGACCAAGGACTCAACTTCTTAATTTGATGCGAATTGAATTTATTTTACCAATGTATTAAAAAAATATATTTAAAAATATATAACAACCCTTTTTACATTATATTCGAGTGAAACAATCGAAACCCGATATATAACATTTTTAAACCTTCAGACATTAATAATCATATATTAATAATCTTTCTTTGTATTTTTATAAGCACTTATAAATTTGTATTTAGTTATCATTCCTGGGAATGATGTTAATATACAATAAAGAAAACTTAGCAAATGGCTACATATTTGCCTGTTTAGCAGCCAATATGTGAATTTGAGTATATAGTTGCTTAACACTAGAAAGACGGAAACTTAGTACTATATGTGACCTGGTCTACGAAAGGGAGCTAACGTGCGAAAACTAATCTTCTATCACGTGAAAAAGTATCTCATCTTCCATCCGAATCAAACCAAAAAGTGAAAATTGATATTTTGACACCTAACCCCTTTCCGTAAACCAGGTCACATATATACCTATATTGCTTGAAAGCAGTCAAAATGACGTGCTTAGGCTATCTAGTGTTAATGAGTACTATATTCTGAATGTACATAATGAAATGGTAGCTGACTATGAGCAAATGAACAGCATCTTGGTCATACGGGTAGACGAACGAACTGACGGGCATGACTACCTCGACTCAGTCCATCGCGTTGGTCATTTATATACGATACATACATATATCGTCACCTAAATTGTGACATAACGCAACATTACTTTTCATAAGCTTACAGGCGAAGGAAGAACGATATAATAGCAACCACTCATTTAAAACAAAACTTTAGTTTTGTTTATAAAATGATTATCTAGTGGTTATATGTGGCAGTGGAAGCGGAATATTTTATGCTACAAAAATTTGATATATGATGTAGCGATTGGGAAGCAATAAAAAACTCAGTTTTGATTTTTTGATGATACGTTGTTTAGCATTTCGATGACGATATTTATGTTGATAAAATCTCTGATATTTTATTATGATTTTTTCAAACTTCTTGACAAACTTAATATACCCCGTTTAGGGTATAAATATTAAAATTTTTTAAATTGCTAAATTAAGATATTAAAAAATAATATTAATAAAATTAAGGAGTAACTACATTTAGTGTTTTATAACAAAATTGTTTAGAAAGCGCGTTGCAAATGTTCTAAATTAAAAAGATTTCCATAATTTTTTGCGATTATTACGGTTATTATTCGCGCCCACAATTTTTATTAAGGCGGTTTTACTCTCTACCCCCAAAAAGTAAATCATTTTAATCCCACATATTTTAATTTTTAAGCAAACAATAACATTTTAACTTCCAACACTTTTGCATGTTCAGTGGCTAATAATTCATCTACGCTACCGTCCATTGCAGATCGCTGAAATGTGCGCGCATAACACTTCACATGAATTTATTCACATCCTTCGCTGCGAACAATTCACTCTGGTTGGTTTGGTACTTCGTTGTAATACCCGAAACGGAGATGCTGAAACGAAGTCCGGTAAGTGAAAGACCCCACACACACACTGCTGCCAGCGGCGCAAAGAGCAATAACTGTATATTTGAAAAAAAAAAAAACGAAATTTCACTTTATACACGCACACACACACGCAATTGCACTGTTATCCTTTTGCGTATGTTTGCTGAAGAAATTTGCATACTGTAATTGCATGCAGACAGTAAATTCGCAAAATAATCGTAAATATTACGTGTGTGTAGGTGCGACACGTAGGCGTGTATGTATGCGTGCAAAGCTTCTTTACGGCGTTTTATTACGATTTTTTTTCAATTTCCCACAAACGAATTCAATTTCAATAATAGTTACCATAGCAACTATTTTATTGATGCATGCATACAAACAGACACAAATACATATATGTACACTATGTTATATACATATCTATATATGTGAATGTATATATGTATGTTACATTTACCTTTCATTTTTCACATGTGTGCGATTTTTTCTTCCTTCGCAGCCACCCTGTATTGCGCTGCACATAATACTCCACTACTTCCTGCTAACCAACTATTCGTGGATGCTCTGCGAGGGCTTCTACTTGCACACGGTGCTGGTATCCGCCTTCATATCGGAGAAGAAATTGGTGAAATGGCTGATTGCCCTCGGCTGGGGCACGCCGGCAATTGTTATCTTCATTTACGCTCTGGCGCGTGGCCTCGGCGGCTCCGGCGATGAAGTCAAACAGTGAGTACAAGCGTCCCTGCATAAATTGCTTATACGAGTATAAATTGCAGCAAACAATATCGAGTTGACAATTGCAAAAGGGCATTAAAAACCATATTTAAAAAATATTCAATATTAAAATAACAAAAACAGCAATAACTTCAAGCGCGTTGCATAATATGATTTGCATAATTCTCAACTTCTTATTGCCCAGCAAATGCCTTGAATTGCCAACCCCTTTGCTGTCTGCCAATTTGATGCTCATTAAAATTCACTAAAACTTTAATCATTTTGTTTTCTACACTTCTTTTATATTCATTTATTTTCATTAATTGCACGCTTCTGCCCGCCCAGCTGTTGGATGCATAGCACGAGCTTCGAGAATATTCTCGTTGTGCCCGTTTGTATTTCCATTTTTCTTAATTTGCTATTTCTATGCAATATTGTGCGCGTCGTGCTGCTTAAGCTGAAGGCACCGGCCAGCATACAAGGCAGCTGTGGACCCTCACGCACCGTCCTGCAAGCATTCCGGTAAGTATTATTGTTGCATAGTGATGGATGGAGTGTGGCAAGTCAGTTGCCAGTTTTAAAGCTTTCCGGTTATTTCACCATTTTCACTTTACAAACAATACTGTACACACTTCCGTACACATTCATATATACACGTATTTTTCATGCACGAGTAGTATATTTTACTATGTATTAAGTATATCTTTATATTTTCATACAATATTTATTCTTCCATCTGCTTATCAAAGGTATTTCTATTTAAGCTTTGCTAAGATCTGTTTATATGTATATTTTAGAAAATATGTTTTAAAGAATTCTACAGCATTTTATTACTTGGAAGTTTCAGGAGTATATTAGTGTTAGCAAAAAGTTAGTTTAGCCAATTTTCGGAGCGAAATAAATGATGTACTTAAACCAAGAGTAAATCAAGTAGGCTTGCTGTATAGAAATTTTTGTTTTGAGTAATTAGAAAAGTAGTAAAAACATATTCATTAATATGAAAAATAATTTATGTGTCTCAACTGTCGTAGAAAATGTCTAAATGTCTAATCTTTGGTATTCATTTACTAGTTCGATTCGTAATGCGTAACCTTTCTCAATAAGCTTCCCACGAATTTCATACAAGTATTAAACAATTTTTAGATTTGAACTCGTACCGTACTATAACCTCTTTACTACCTTGATCCCCTGTTTGTAAGCCATGTATTTTTAATGATAATACAGAAGGAGGATACTCTTTTCAAACATGCATATATGGTTCAGGTAGAACTAAATGTGGTAAACACAACACGCCTTAGATTACATAGTGAGTACAGAACTAAAACACTTTCAAGATAATTTTACCTAAAATTAAAAATTAATTACATTAAAAAAGAAAATGGAAACGAAAAGGAGAATGTTAAGATATTGTTGAAATGTGAATCTAATCTAAAATTTAAAATTTACAACCAAGTAAACACATTTTATATATCCGAAAATTCCTACTCTATATCATTAACCAATTAGCCAATCCGAATAAGAATATTACCTCCTATAATTATGAATGTAACATTTAAACATAATTCGGGAAAAGAAAAATTGACATTGGGTCTTTAACGGTAGAAACAAAGCTACGTCATACAACGCCATATACGAAACGAAGTTTTACATTTTCATAGTCAATATCGGTTATTTTTCTCCATGGTCTAGATGAAGAACTGTCTTTTAGTTTAGAACTTTAATCAGTGCTAGTACAGTGCAGTGTAGTATTAGATTTTTTGGAGGGTAAAATAATTTAAAACAAGTAAAAGAGGGCTAAGTTCTGGTGGAACTTAAGCAATTTATACTTTTGTAACTTGCAGGAATGAAAGCCAGGGAAATACTTTAAAATATAAAACGTCAACCAGAGCATCGGAATCTAAGCAATTATATATACAGTTCGCTTTCCCTAACTCGAATCATCACATATTTATATGACCGCTATATTCGAAAACACAGTTTATTAAAAAAACCAAAATCACTATACATACTATGTAGTATATGGGAGTTGCGGGTAGTATCGACACGACTTAATCCGATACTACAGACTATTTATATACCACATGCTAATAAATGTTCCCTGAGATTCATTAAAGTTCCTCACATGCAATCACCAATCAACTGGATTTAAGTCACCCGGATGTTATATGTTTGTTATATGGGGCTAGGTCAAGTTTTCAATAGAACACGCTCTCTCAGGACAACTAACATATTGGTCGGTGTAAGGTCGAACAGTTTTCTACAAATATGTTTTCACCTAATAGTGGACGATGCAAGCTCATCGTCCAATCTTGGCACTGGCTTCATTAAAGCATTACAACACTATCTTGGTGGTAAAATTTGATGTCTCTGGCGTATTAAGTTATTGATTTATTGCACTGTTAGTAGTTTTTAATAGTACTGTTATACAAGTRTGTGAAGTGAGCGGGGTTGCCAAACGACTTCATACATTTTCATACTGTTGGTAGAAGTTTTTCTTGCCAAAGAACTCGCATATTCATTCATTCAATTTTCATTCAGATAATATGAACAACTAAACAGAAAATAAAGGTTTTGGTGTCACTAAATTTTTTAAAAATATCACAAACAYTGAACATTATATAAAATCTAATCTAAATCTAAACTATCAAGGTTAAGAAGTTGTGTGGGTTTCTTCCTGTATAAAAGAAATTAAAATTTAAAATCACTTTAAGAGTTATATCTCAAAAACCTGTGTAAAATTTCATGATTTTGCATTGGTATAATAGTTCTCAAGAAATCTTGCCAACCGACTTCAAAAACACAGTCTCAAGAAAAATGCATTTAAACACCGGTTACTAAGTATAGCTATAGTTGAGCGCATAAGTTCTGAAAGYTGTATCTCCGAAACTATTACTCGGGTCAACTTGAAAATTTAAAACAACATTCTAGAGGGGTTGTCGAATTTAATAGAGCAATAAAAAAATTCCATGTTTTGAAACCCGTAAACCCATGTAACCCCTTAAAAAAAGAACAAAAATGCTTTTCATTTTTTCATAGTTTTAGACTAGAAAGAAAACGTTTTTTTTTTATGAAAAACCAACAAAATATGGAATTTCATAAATACAGATTATCTATGAACATAATATTCAACCAAAATCATTTGAAMTCAACTTGACCCAAATAATCATTATTTCTAATTATACTATTTTAAACTCCATTTAATTTTTGTTCATCAAAAATGTGCATTTCCACATTCTATCTGTAGGTTGCACCTTGAAAATAAAACCTCCACCTTTCCTAAACTTTAATTTAATCACAAAATGCATTAACGCGGATGCGAACATGACCTAATTTTTAATTGCAAAGCAGAGTACACTTTAAAAATTACACTCCAAACAAAATTTAATTAAATCCAAAAATATAACAGTACTTTTGTGTATTTACCATTTTTTTACTCCACTACAACACAATGTGCTTATCTGCCTCTATACGCACACTTACAGCGCAACACTTTTGCTTGTACCACTATTGGGATTGCAGTACATCTTGACGCCATTTCACCCGGATGCAGGCCATCCATGGGAGCAGACATACGAAGTAATCTCAGCGTTTACGGCCTCATTTCAGGTGAGTTAAGTCAAGTGTTAATAAACTGACAGAATACAAAATGAGTTTCAGCAAGCACTTATATGCTTGTGTATATGTGTGAATACGCACATATATTTACATATTTATGTTATATATGTGTTAGTAAGCAGTATATGCACGACGGTTGGTTTATTGGTGCCGAAATTTGTGCCAAGATTGTGTCTACTGTCGTGTTCCTCTACTGTCTTCCGTTGTTTACAACCATTCAACAGCAATTATTCCGAAGAAATAATCGAGCACTAGTCAAGCAGAGGTGAACTCACCTGAACAGGTTTGCATAAGTATGCATGGGTTTTCAAATTAGGCAGCAATGTTCGAGCAAATGACAGGTGCAGTAAATGTAAGCAAATGCTTGTAAGATTAAGTGCACAACAAAAGCAACTGCATTTTAATTGGTTTGCTGTGCAATGAAAGGGCACAATGATGTGCCTTTGTGCCAATCAAATTTGAAGTGTAGTTAGTCCGTAYATCGAACATTGTGTGCGATTTTCGTATAATAGATTTTATCAGCTGTTTGTCTAATTTAATAGTCATGACAGATTTTATTGTTAATTGTGAAATAAGAAAGCCTTGAAATATAAATTGAGGCAAAAAAAAAAAATACCAGGAAATTTAAAATTAAACACGAAGTATTTAATTATTCATCAATTTTTATTTTGTCGCCTTCAAAGTAGTCCCCACCATATGTAATACACTTATACCAGCGATTTTTCCAGTCCTTCAACGAATTTTGTTTTATCTCTTCGATACACTGAAAACGTGTTCCACGGAAAGGCAATTTCAATTTTGCGAACAAGAAAAAAACACATGGAGCCAAATCGGGTGAATAGG